GCTATGTAAATTATATATCAATAAAGTTATCAAAAATAATAATCTGGCTGGGTCCAGTGGTTCATGCCTATAATCCCAGCACTTTGGGAGGCAGATGGGGTGGATCACCTAAGATCAGGAGTTTGAGACCAGCCTGACCAACATGGTGAAACCCCATCTCTACAAAAATACAAAAAAAATTAGCCAGCCATGATACCAGGCACATATAATCCCTGCTACTCGGGAGGCTGAGGCAGGAGAATCTCTGGGAGGCAGAGGTTACAGTGATCCAAGATCGTGCCACTGCACTCCAGACTGAGTGACAGAGCGAGACTCTGTCTCCAAAAAAAAAAAAGCAGAAAAAAAAATTTCCAAAAAGATACAATCTTATAAAGACATAGCTTTGACAAAAATTATACAAAGAACTTTTTATCAAACCAAGCATGTTTTCCCATCTGAAATTTCCAAGCACTGCTAAGGATTATTTCTAAAAATTCTTGATTAATACCTGTGGGGTGCCTACCATGTACCTACCAGGCACATGTGCAAGGTGTTGAAGGTACAGCAATGGAAAACAGACTTTGCCCTCAACTGTAACCAAGACAGTCATCCACCCTGTAACAGCACAGTTAAGCATTTCTCTAATTTAAATTTCTAACTCTAATGACCATCCACACCCACATGCTTAATTAATAGAAATCCATGGAGTATCCTCACTCTCTCCTCACTCTCTCATGACTTCCTGTTGTTAACAACCCTGGACACTTTACCCCAACGTATCCCACTTAGCAACTTTAGCCCAGGCCCCAAGCTATTCATACTTAAGGATCAACTCTTTTAACCCACATACCAGCCATTTTTCTCAAGGCATACCAGTGTCCAGGTGGCTGCATGAGTCCATATAGGGTCCAGAAGCATCTCTTACCTGACTTGTGTGGAAACCAGTCATCCATTCAAACTATTCCTCCCCTTGTGGTAATATAATTTTGTCTTAGAGGAAATATACTTTTCCTGCTGCGCAATCTTGGTCTTGGCTAACCCCAAGCCATCCATTATATTTCACTACATTTGAACCACAAATAGAAAAGGTCTTTCCTCCTAAGAGATTACTGTGTTCCCATCTAAATATGTCTGATCCCTCTTCAGCAACCTCCAAGCTCAAAGCCTTCCCCATCTCATAGGCATGTAGGAGGGATACTACAGCTCCATCCTCCAGAGCCAGCCCTGGTTAACCCAAAACTCCTTGTTAAATTCTTCCCCAAACCCTACCCCCCAAAAAGTGCTCTTTCAGAACAAAATGAGTCTGTACCAAAGGTTTATTGACTTCTTCTCTAGGGACATGGAACTCATCACTAAATAAACATACTTGTGCACACACACACACACACACACACACAAATACACACACAGCTACTCCTACAAGGTGCTCCAAATCAGAGTGGCCATGACCAGAAAAAGTGAATTTCCAATGTTTCCATATTGAGAATGAGAGTTTGATCAACTTCTCACCCCTGACCAGTTGAATTCTAAGTCCTCACACAGGCCTGACCTGTTGCTCTGGCCTCCAGGTTTGCCAGACTCCAGTTTTATTTCAGTAGGTTGGGTACTTTGGCAGGGAGGGAGCTGGAGAACTGAAACAATTAATTGGCTGGAGATGAAACCACAGAGACCCATAAAACTGTCTTCGTGTGGCTGAGTTCTGAAAGGGGCCTCAGGACCAGGTGGCATCTCTTGTTCTGTTCAAATGCTAAATCTGAAAAATATCTCAAAGACAAGTTCTTTAAGCTTCACAACAGTGATGTTATTGATAGGAGTAGTTGGGGGAGTTATAATCATGTGACCCCAGTTTTGTGATTCTGGGGCAGCAAACAACTTATGGAAAAACAAACGAAGCAATGGCAGGTCATTGTTTATGCCTATTCTATAGCAAAGTTCAAGGCCCTACCATAATTTTAACCTTGTCTTATGAATGCAGCTTCGGTCTACAAACAAGGCAGGAGGGCAGTTTTCCTTGCCTCATAGGTTAACTGTGAACTAAATTTATCTCATACTTATCTTGGCCTTCATGCTGGAATAAGCAATTTATCCTGTGAAGTTAGACGCAAGATGGAGTCAGTCACGTTAGATTTCTCTCATTACTTATTCCGAAAAGGCAGTTTCACCAAGAGTTTGGGGGTTCTGTTCCTAGAAGCTTGGGGTGTCAGACATACAGCATCATAGATGTGTCTACAATGATGATGATGGAAAAGTTCTGGTGTCTTCAGACCACAGAGGCTCTTCCTTTATATCTTTTTTGGCACCACGTAGCCCTACCTTAACCTCTGTTCCGGGATGCCTGTACTCTCTCTGCTCACCAACCTGGCCAGTAGCCAACAAGTGGCTCAGTAAAGTGGGAATGGGTGGAGAAAATAAAAAGGAAGGAGTTGAAAGAAGTGCCACTTGAATATCCCAGTTGCCATTCCTTACTTTGACTGACCCACAATTTCCATAAAACAGAATTCATATTTTTCACAAATTTTAACTTGCTGATAGTCACTCAAATTTATTCTAGTCTTGGGGAAAGTGGTGAAGACATACTAAGCTTCCGATATCATTTACTGAGTTTTTTTCTTATGAACTTAGGTCACGAAAACCTTACTCCCCTAATTTGACCACCTTCCAGTTCTGGGGGGTGTCCACCAAGTGACATAAAGGGAATCAGCAGTTTCTCATAGGCATCTGGCTCAGCATGGTGGGCAGAGGTGGTTAGGAATGAGGCTGGCTCATCCAGGAAAGGGAGGGTTGGTGAGGTCACATAGACTCCAATGAAGGCCCCACAGCAGGGTACGCTTTTCAATAGCCCAGGCTTCAGGGAGAGTTAGAATCTCTACCATCTGGCTGAAAGTATTACATAACTGTTTCTATTCAAGAGGGATTTCAGTTCCTCTTAAATTTCATGTAATAGTTCAGAAAACCTGAAAGGCGCCATTTTTGTTTTATAATGAGCTAAGTAGAGAAGATACATGAGCAAGGAAATGTATACAAGACTCCAGAGTTTGTCTAACACATTACAGAAGTTAATCTGTCACTTATGAGACTGACTTAACTAACTAGCATTGTTTCTTCTGATCAGAAATCAGCCCTAGACTATTTAAAGAAAAAAGCAGGCCAGGCATGGTGGCTCATGCCTATAATTAGGAGGCTGAGGCAGGCTGATCACAAGGTCAGGAGTTCGAGATCAGCCTGGCCAATATGGTGAAACCCCATTTCTACTAAAAATACAAAAATTAGCCAGGCATGGTGGTGGGCGCCTGTAGTCCCAGCTACTCAAGAGGCTGAGGCAGGAGACTCACTTGAACCAGGGAGGCAAAGGTTGCAGTGAGCAGAGACTGTACCACTGCACTCCAGCCTGGCAACAGAGCAAGACTCTGTCTCAAAAAAAAATTTTTTTAAGGAAGAAAACAGAAAGTGTCTCTGGTTAGACAGCTAACAGAACCTATATGTGAAACCAACTATCATGGAGTATGTGTTTAAGAATCACAGCAGGTTCCAAGCTGAGCATCCTACAAGACTGAGGAGAAATAATCACCCCAAACTCTGCTAATGCTCATGTTATCAAGCTGCAGAAGACCCCATTCACCTGAACAATATAAATGAAAATATAATGTTTATGAGCTTCTTTCTGTTCTGTGCCCCTGGGCCAGGTCTTCTGTCTGCTTGAGGCCAGGGCAGGTGCAGGAAGGGCGAGAATCGAGATGAGTTTTTATCCCCTAATTACACTTGCTGAGCTCTTGGTACAGGACATGTGAAGGACTTGGTGCCAGGACTTGCTGCATGACTGGTGAAGAGGCCTTAGCTAGACCTGCTGGGGCAATTAAAGGCCACCATAGCCTAAAGTTCTAGCAGATCGAGAAATGACCACCTGTTATAACTTACCAAAGTATGTCTTGCAGAGATACTAATATGTGAATACCTTAGTGACCTCTAATGGTATTGTAAAGGGATGGGGAAACAGGAGCAACACTGCCTTGTGGGCATGCTGACCAGGCAGCTCTCCAAATGCATGGATCCATTGTGCCTTGGCCACTCACACACCTGCTAGTGGCTCAGAGCTCTGGCCAGGCAACCTGAAGTCAAGTAATGTGTCTTTCATGGACACCATGTAGCTGAAATAGTATTGTTTCCTGAGATCCAAAAAATGGAACAGGACAGAACTATTGGGCAGTGCTAACCACAGCATGTTGAAGGACCTTTTGCTGTAGAAAGAGCCAAGGACTCAATAGTGTCATGTTTAGACCCCTCAGACTAAGCCTTGGCATGGGCTCAGCTGATGGAACAGTGGTGGAAGCAGCTGAGCCAATGCTAGGCTCCAAGTGGAACCTTAGACTCCCCAAGTAGTAGCTCTGAGAAGGGCTGCTTGGTCAGTGCAGTCTAAAGTCGATGTCTGGAGAACTGCCCGTCACCCAGGTCTGGAAATCTCACTCCCAAGGTATTAGTACATCCAGTGGTAGGTAGAAAAAGAAGATGAAGACTCATGAAACTGATTTTGCTCACTGGTTACAGCAATGATCTTGGCTGGGGCAGAGGTGAAAAGTCATCTGAAATAAGGATCCTGGTGTATTTACCATTCTATTTCTCTCTTCTAGGCAAGGAATTTCCAAACCTAGCCCACAGCCAATGCCTGGAGTTCTTGTTTGAAGTGCAGATTCCTGGACACCAGCCCCAAAGATTCTAGCCCAACAGTTGTGGGGTATACCCAGGAATCTATATGTCTATCAAGGGCCCTGCTCCAGGGGATCCTGACTTAGGTGATCCAAGTACCAGTATTTGGCAATAACCACTCTAGCACACCCCATCTCCATATATCATTGTCATTCACTGAGAATTGGTGGTGCCTTAGATGAGGAGCTGGGGTAACTCATAGCCAGCATATTCCTCGGCCCCCACACGGACACACCTATGTGTCATGGGGCATGTGTCCTGGAGCTCTGCCTCCCAGCCACTTCACACTGTGCTCGAAGCACACATGCACATTACACCAATTCAGTTCAGCAAGTGTTTATTGGGCACCTACAATAGGCAAGGCACAATACCAGGTGCTATGGGTTACAAAGACAAGAAGGCTAGGCCTCACCCTCGAGAGGCTTACAGTCTAATAGAGAAAGACACACTCACAGGTAACAAAACTACAAGGCAGAGTGAGGTGGCTCTGTGGCAGAGGCAAAAACAGTGGGAGAACAGTGAGCAGGGATAGATCAGATGTATCTCAGCAGATCAGATGTTGAATGCAGGGAGTAGCATTCCAGCCAGGCCCTGGGAGGTGGGTCGAATTCGCACAGGTGAACTGGAGAAAGGACACTCAGGCACAGGCAAGGTACAGAGGTGGGAAAGTGCAACGAATGTTCAGAGAACAGAGACGCCGGCCTCGATGGAAACACAGGAGGCCGACAGGGTAACAGAGGTACCTAAGCTGGGGGAAGTGGTTTCAGGCCAGATGGTGGGATCGCTCATAGTAGGATTTCGTTCTTTTTTTTTTTTTAAGACAAAGTCTCGATCTATCGCCCAGGCTGGAATGCAGTGCCACATTCATAGTTCACTACAGCCTCAACCTCCTGAGAGCAAGCCATTCTCCTCCAAGTAGCTGGGACTACAGGCACATGCCACCATGCCCAGCTCATTGTGTGTGTGTGTGTGTGTATTTTTCTGGAGAGACAGGGCCTCACTTTGTTGCACAGGTTGTTCTTGAACTCTTGACCTCAAGCAGTCATCCTACCTTGGCCTCCAAAAGGGCTGAAATTATAGGCTCAAGCTACCACACCCAGCTATAGTGAGGAAATTTGACTTCATTCCATTGGTAACGGTGAACTACGGAAGGTTTCTGAGCAGAGGGGTGACATGACTTCATTTCCACAAGTCTGGGCACACTGCTGTGAGTAACACATGATTAGCTTCATTCTTTTTGTTAACCTTACTCTATGGCTTACACTTCCTCCTAGTCTCAGAGCAGAAGCATGAACGTGAGCCCTGTAGCCACACATACTTTCCCGGGCTGCACAAAGCAGGAAGCAGTGGCCTTAGCTCAGTAAACTTTGCGCTCATTTAACAGCTCTGCACCTGCTCCATAGAAGAGGAAGTGAGGCTTTCCAGAACTACTTGAGATTAAGGAGCAGAGCACAAGAACAGTACTTAACAGACTTCTGTCACCTAAGAATGGCAAGAATAAGCTGCAGAGAAAATGGGAGTGCAGAAGAAATGGTGGAGAGGTGTGAATGACCTAACTAGCGTCATCCAAACTGAATCCTGTCCCAGTTCGACTTCTGTAATAACCCACCTCTGCCGCCAGCTAGTGGGAAGGGAGATTTCACAGTCTGACTCACTAGATCAGTAGATGGGGTTTCTAAGCACTCTACACATAGAAGGGTCTCTGTGGACAGAGGCTCCTAGGATCCTGCTTAACCATCCAATGAGGAAGGAGAATGGTGCCCACCTGTTCCTGGGCCACCCCAGCCCGCAAAGGGATGTGAGGCCACTGCTGTCCAGGTGGAGACAGCAATGCTGGTTAGCGAGGGCTCCCCCAGAACCTCCACACCAGCCGAAGTGGGTGCTTGGGTGGACAGCACAGAGGGGGGTGAAGTCACAGCTGGGTTTCCGAGGAGAAATGCTCCTGGGGTGCTGGCATGCACCTCCGGGCCTGGCCCAGTGGGGCCTCCGGCACCATTGCTGATGGTCCACAGGCACGGATAGGGGCTGCAGAGACAGAGAAAGAGGGGAAGGGAACGTTCAATGGCACTCCAAGGAAGAAGTCCCACCTGACAAGCATGTACACAGTGCTGAGGAGGGCATGGTTGCGAGAGGGCTTCTGACCACAGCTTTATTTCTAGCTGTGACACAGATCAGTCCTGTTTCTGCAGAAAAGCTAAGAGAAGCAGCAAAGTATGGTGGAATAATGATAAGGTTAAGTGTCCAGAGACCAGGATTCTGGCACTGGCCCTGCCACCAGCAAGTTATTTGGTTTTAGACACAGAATTTCACTAATCTGGGCTCTCTTGCATCCTATGTAAAATTAGCAAGGCAGTAAAAGAAAGTTATTGAAACTGTATGATTTCTGCATATGATCTCTCCCTGGCCAGTGTAACATAATAACTAAGACACATTGCCGGCAGAAGACTGGAGTCTAAATCCCAGCTCTACTATTTATTAGCTCTGTGGCTTTGGCTAAATTATTTAATATCTCTGAGTGTCAGTTTTCTCATCTTCAAGATGTGGAGTCATAATTTTACCTACCTTACAGAGATTGCTACAAGGATTAAATAAGAAGAGGAGTATATGGTCCTTAGCATGTGGTACTCAGTAAATGAGTTGTTATCATTAATTCTTCCCTTCCTGCTCTCCACCTGTGAGCTCTGGTCCCTGGCAGAAAGGCTGGGAGCTAGAACACTTTCTTTGCCTTCTCTAGTTCTGTAGCACTGGTTCACACATGTGGTTGCACATTGGGCACATTGGAATCATTCAGGGAGTTTTTTAAAGTAATATTGGTGGCCTGGTGCAGTGGCTCACGTCTGTAATCTAAGCACTTTGGGAAGCCGAGGCAGGCGGATCACAAGGTCTAGAGTTCAAGACCAGCATGGCCAACTAAGTGAAACACTGTCTCTACTAAAAATACAAAAATTTGATGGGTGTGGTGGCACGCGCCTATAGTCCCAGCTACTCTGGAGGCTGAGGCAGGAGAATCGCTTGAACCTGGGAGGCAGAGGTTTCAGGGAGCTGAGATCACACCATTGCTCTCCAGCCTGGGTGACAGAGTGAGACTCCATCTCAAAAAAAAAAAAAAAAAAAGTAATATTGGTGCCTGGGTCCACCCCTATCCCACTCCCCTGCCCTAGAGATTCTGATGGAACTGGTCTGGCATGCAGCCTGGGTATGAGGAGTTTTTTAAGTTTCCCAGGTGATTGTAATGTACAGCAAGCTTGCACCCTTAATATAGATGCAGTTGGAATAGGTACAACGATCCCAATGTTTTCAGCCTTTAGTCATCACTATGTCTCTTACATTTGAGAGTTTCTGCATTGCCCAACACTGCATTACTTGATAATTGGCTTATTATCCGATGGCAATATTGAATACATTTATTATGTTTTGTTTCTAACAAAATATTTATGGAGTCAGGAATGAGTTAAACACACCAACAAGGAAACCAGAGTTGGCAATGCCATCCTTCACCTGGTGCCATTTTTCAGTGCTACAGGCCTCGTTGGACCATATGAAACCTGCAGAAGCCCATCCTCGGAGCTCTCTCTGTGCTAGCTCAGCTTGTGGGGATTCTGGCCCCAGTCATCAGAAGATGCTCTTCTACATTATCTCTCACAGGCCCCTTCTGATGCCTCCTGGGCCAGTGGGAGAACGATGGGCTCTGAGCTGTACTGCTTACTGCAGGACCTTCAGTACATTTTTAAGGCCTCTGAGCTTCAGTTTCTTCATCAGCAAAACAGAAATTTTAACACCTGCCTTATAGTTGCCTTTGAGTACTACAGGAGACTTATATATGGATGACTTATGTATATGTAAGTGTCTAGTATACAACTCGGCACATGATTGTTTAATATCTTTAGGGAACCTCATCTTCATTCTGTTTCTCACTTCCTACCACAGCCCAAATCAATGCTTTTTCCTCAGATCCTCTAGTTCAGTGTCAAATGTAAATGATCCTCTAGATCAGCATCAAAATGCAAACCATAAATGCCAGCTACATATATAAGTTTAAATTTTCTAGTAGCCATATTGAGAAAAAAAACAACTATTATTAATATTTTATTTAACCAAAATGTTCAAAATATTATCATTTCAACATGCATTTGATGCATTTGATGTAAATTATTATATATGTATACATTTACATGATATTTACATAATAGCATCTATATTTACATACACAGCTATATGTTTATATATACATATGTTAAAAAACTGAGATTTTTATTCTTTGTTTCATACTAAATCTTCAAAATCCTGTTTGGGTATTACACTCACAATATATCTCAACTTGGACTAGCTGCATTTCAAGTGTTTGACAACCACAGGTAGCTCATGGCAACACCCCTGTGGGCCACAGCAATATCAGCAACACACAGGAACTTGGTAGAAATGCAGAATCTCAGGCCCCCACCCAGACCTACCAATCAGATTCTGCATTTTAGCAACAACCCCAGGTGATTCTAGGCCATCACATTCTCCTAATTTTTTCTAGACTTACAAATCACAAGTCATCTGATGTCATCCTACATCCCATCTTTTTTTTTTTCCCCTTGAGACAGTTTCCCTCTTGTCACTCAGGCTGGAATGCGGTGCCTCGGCTCACTGCAACCTCCGCCTCCCAGGTTCAAGTGATTATCCTGCCTCAGCCTCCCAAGTAGCTGGAATAACAGGCATGCGCCACCTTGCCTGGCTAATTTTTGTATTTTTAATAAAGACAGGGTTTCATCATTTTGGCCAGGACAGTCTCAAACTCTTGACCTCAGGTGATCCACCCACCCTGGCCTCCCAAAGTGCTGGGATTACAGGCGTGAGCCACTGCCCCGGCCAAGTCTCATATTTTAATATTGAATCCACTTTGGACTTTCTCAAAATTCTGCATAATAGCTGACATTTACACAGAACGTTACTCCTTACAAAGAATGTTAATGCATTTTCTCATTTCTGCATTTGATGCTCATGGTAACTCTGCAAAGTACGTAGGTCATGTTATTTCCATGATACTGGAGCTCAGTAAGGCTAAGATAGTAAGAAAGCTGGAGCTCAGTAAGGCTAAGAAAATTACCCAAAGTCACAAAGTCACTAAGAGGTAGAACTGGGACTCAAACCCCAGCCTGTCAGACTCAAAGGGGCCTTCTCTTCCCACTTCCCCACTCAGATTTCTAGAAGTCAGAACTTAATGCAAGTCGCTAGTGTGAGGATTAAACCATAGTCCTCCATGCTGCACTTAGCCCTCTTACCAGGGTTGTGAGGACAGGATAGCCATCCACAATATGTCCCCTTTTTAGGATGGGTGACTTATGGGAAAATGGACAATCATGGGTCTTGACTTCTCAGTGTATATTTATAGTTTTCCTCTTTAATTCCTCTGCAGTCGGTATCTATTTGCTACCACCATAGTTTAAAGTATTTCTGACCGGTTTAAGACAAATGGTCGCAGGCCATACAGTATATGACTGGGCTGTTTCTCCAGTTATATAAGGAGAACGCATCCTGTTGCCACCTTTACTTCTTAGTGGTTTAGAGGTCAGGACAATAGCTTAGACCCAGTCACCCTAGGAAAAAGAATGAACTTGAGTCCCCAGTGCTAAAGTAAACCCCAAGAGCACCAATGAGTGAGTTGATGATGCTGGTCTTACCTGGGCCCTGGATTGATTGGTCCGTTGGTATGAGGTACAGACAGGATGCTGGCATGGGGTGTGGAGGGTAAGGAAGTCCAGCTGTCAGGTCCCGAGAAAACTTGCAGATTATTGCTTGAGCTTTCTATCAAATTCACTTTGGGGAAACAACAACAGTTGAATTGATAGCAAATGTAGGAAACATAAAGATGATCGGTGACATTGTCCTAGAGCAAAATATAACCATGGCTTGCACTACAGGCACCAATAGTTTGTTGGTTCTTTCTCAGGGAAATAGAAAATAAAAGGAAACATAGGGTTCTTGAATGTCAATCATATGCCAGGTGTTATTCATAGTTCAATATTCACACCAGAGACTCCTTATCTCCATCTTGTAGATAAGCCTCAGTGTGGTAGAATGATTTCCCCTGGGTGTCCCGGATCTAACTCATTTCACCATATTCACCCTCTTAAGAAGGGACCATAGCAGCCTCCCCTCAAGCTAAGCCTAAGGGCCACCAGTGCCCTAGATGAGATTTCTGAGTTCCAGGAGCTTATTCTTCTCAGCCATCCTCAAGTAGGTTTAAATATCTCAAGAGCAGGGCCTTTTGGCCAGGCACGGCACTCACACCTGTAATCCTAGCACTTTGAGCCCAGGAATTTGAAACCTTCCTGGACAACACAGAGAGACACACCAGCTTTATAATTTAAAAAAAAATAAGAAAAAAAATTGTACCTTTTTACAAAAAGAAGTCGCTTGTATGATCTCGCTTACATGTGGACTCTAAGGAAGTTGAATACATAGAGGCAGAGAGTAGAAGGTGGTTACCAGGAGTGGGGAGCTGGGGAAATGAGATGTCAGTCCAAGGATACAAAGTTGCACTTACGTAGGATGAATGAGTCTAGAGATCTAACTTACAGTCTGAAGATTATAGTTAATAATACTGTACTGTGTACTGGAAAATTGGCTAAGAGTAGATTTCAGGTGCTCTCATCAAGAAGAAAAGTAACTATGTGAGGGGATGGACAAGTTAATTTGCTTGACAGCAGTAATCACTTCACTATGCATATGTATGTCAAAACATCATGGTGTCCACCTTAAATATATACAGTTTTTATGGAGGGGAAATGAATAATGTCTTCCATTTCTTTGAATCTCTATTTGCATAAATAGTGTATATACAGAAGAGAGGAAGAAGGCACAGGCAGGAAGGAAGGAAGGGAAAAGGGGGAGAGAAGAGAGAGGAGGAAGATTCCAGTGTGTATCTCTGGTGCTACAGTTTGAGTGCGTCCTCCAAGGTTCATGTGTTGGGAACTTCATTCCCAATGCAACAGTGTTGAAAGGTGATTGGGCCACAGGGGCTCTACCTTCATGAATAGGTTAATGCCAATATTGGAGGAGTGGGTTTCTGATAAAAGGATGGGTTTAGCCTCCTGCCTTCTCCCCCTCTTCCCCACCAGCCATGTGATGCCTTCTGCAATGTTATGACACAGCCAGAAGACCCTTACCAGTTGCCTGCAGGACTATGAGAAAATAAATTTCTATTGCTAATAAATTACCCAATCTCAAGCATTTTGTTATAGCCCCACGAAGTGGACTGAGACACCTGGCCACTTCTCTTCTTTTTACTATCTGCCACTTGCAGGCTCTCCAGCCCTAACTCTGGTGTCTTCCATCTGTCCCCACTCCCCCTACACTCTGTTCCAAGGCTGTTCCCGACCACCCAGGCTCTTTCCCTCTTCTGTACCATTGCTCAGCCCACTCTCCCTACCTGGGACGCCCTGCACCTCTGCCTGTGGCACATGTCATCCACCTCTACCCCCGCCCACTCCCACTCTGTCCTTTTCTATTCATCTTTGAAGGCTAGCTTTATTTATTTATTTATTTTATTTATTTATTTATCAGACCGAGTCTCACTCTGTCACCCCAGCTGGAGTGGTGTGATCTCTGCTCACTGCAACCTCCGCCTCCTGGGTTCAAGCGATTCCCCTGCCTCAGTCTCCTGAGTAGCTGAGATTACAAGCACCCACCACTATGCCCAGCTAATTTTTGTGTTTTTAGTGGAGACGCTGTTTCACTGTGTTGGCCAGGCCAGTCCCGAACTCCTGACCTCGTGATCCACCCACCTCAGCCTTGCAAAGTGCTGGGATTACAAGCGTTGGACCACCACGCCCTGCCATCAAAGGTCAATTTAAATGTTAACCCCTCTGGGCTGCCTT